TTCACTAGAGCAGCTGGTGGGTTTGAACCACCAACATTTTGGTTAGGAGCCAAATGCCTTAACCACTACACCATTAGAACTCCTCAAGCAAAATAAATCAGACACAAAAGGACAAATGCGGCATGATTCCACTTGTGTGAAATACTTAGAACAGTAGTGCATAGAGACAAAAGTATGTTAGTGATTACCAGGGGCTGGGAGGAGGGAGGAATGAGGAGCTATTGCCAAAAGGGTACTGAGTTTCTGTTGATGGTGATGAAAAACATTTGAAAATGGAGAGTGGTGATGGTTGCACGACTTGATCAATGTAATTAATGTAACTGAGTTACACTGGTTAAAATGACAACATTTTTATAAATATATTTTACTGCAATTAAAAAAAAAAATGGACCTCCCTTTCCCTATTGGCCCTCACAGATCAACATCTTTTCTATTTTTTAAAACATTTCATTAGATGGATGTGCCATGATCTATTTAGTCATTCCCCTCCTGGTCTCTGGATGATAGTTTGTTTCTAAGATTTTTATTATTATAAGCAAAGCTGCAGACAGCATGCTAGCGAGTCCCACTGGGTTTCCAAAGCTGTAAATCTTTATGAAAGTAGATTGCCTCATCTTCTTCTCACAGAGCAGCTGATGGGTTTGAACTGCTGACCTTCTGGTTAGCAGCCAAATGCCTTACCCACCAAGCCACCAGAACATGCTAACACCAGAAGACAATAAAGCAGAGGAGGAGATAGGAATGAGGACTCTGAAGTTAGATGGCTTTTGCCAAAACCACTTCCTGTGTGAGAAAGGGAAATTCTCAGCTCCTCTGTGCTTCAGTTTCCACATCTATGAAATGGGGATAGTGGTGAACCCCATTCTGACTCATGGTGACATCATGTGTTACAGAGTAGAACTGCTCCATTGGGTTTTCTTGGCTGTAATGTTTACAGAATCAGATTGCCAGAACTTTCTACCACAGTGCTGCTGGTGGGTTCAGACTGCCAACCATTAGGTTACTGGTGGGGCTCAAACTGTTGGCACCACCCAGAAACCTGGGGGTTAGTCACAGTGAAGATAACATAAAAGAATCCAGACAAAGCACTATGCACCAGACCCGGTACATGGGGTAATACAAGCTAGTAATCCAACCAAACCAAAAACCAAACCCACTGTCGTCTGGTCAATTCAGATTCATAGCAATCCCTGTAGGGTTTCCAAGACTGTAAATCCTTATGGAAGCAGACTGCCTTGTCTTTCTCCTGCAGAGCAGCTAGTGGGTTTGAACTGCCAACCTTTTGATTAGTAGACTAATGCCTTAACCACAGCACCACCAGAGCTCCTTAGTAATCCACAGACATCGTTATCAGTAAACCGTTGCCTCCTTGGGTCTATCCCCAAGATGAATTCCTAGCAGAGAAGTTCTGGGAGGAGGAACATGGCTTTTATAATTTTCAAAGTTATCACAAATTACCTTCCAAAAAGGTCGCAGTGGTGGCTACTAGTCACAGAAGGAAGTAGGGAGCCCTGGACGGTCCTTGAGGGGAGGATGCAGACTCAAGGGTATCAGGCCCCGTGGCCATTTCCTTCTGTGATGTGATCCTCGGGGTCAAGGGCAAGTCATTGACCTTCCCTTCATCCCTGAAAATGAATCAGTAATGCATCTAAATACCCATTTCCTTCCTTTGCCTAATAATTATGTTTCCATCTTCCAGGAATACCTTGGGGGACAGATTTGGGGGCTACTTCTCAGGGCCAGGGAGCCCACCTTATTTGTGGTTCTCTCCCTGGATACCATTTCACACCACCCTTTACTCAGAGGGTTCCAGAATGGACATGTCATCTTCCTGGGGAGCCATCCCCATCCCTTAGCCCACTCCCTTCTGTCACTGCACCAGTTCATTTTATTCACACCATTTCTCATAATGTACAAAATAGCTCTATCCATATCTATATCTGTAAAACCCAGTTGCCATTGAGCCAACCCTGACTCACGGCGACCCCTTGTGTGTCCAAGTAGAACTGTTTTCCACAGGGTTTTCTACTCAAATAACATAAAATTGACCATTTTAACCATTTTAAAAGTGTACAGTTCAGTGGCATTTTGTCCATTCACAATGTTGTGCAGCCACTGCCTCTGTCTAGATGTAAAGCATTTTCATCCCCAAAGGAAACTCCGGGCCCGCCAGCAATCGTTCCTCATTCCTCTCTTGCCCTAACCCCTGGCAACCGCTAATCTGCTTTCTGTCTCTCTGGATTTACCTATTCTAGATATTCTGTATAAATGGAATCATAAAGTAGGGGCCCTTTTTTGGGGGGCTGGCTTTTCCCTCAGCAGAATGCAGGTAGTATGTAACAGTAGTTTCAGAATTGACTCCACAGCACACACCACCAATAACAAGGAGCCTGGTGGGCAACAGTTAAGCTGCTAACCAAAAGGTTGGAGGTTCAAACCCACCCAGTGGTTCCACTGGAGAAAGACCTGGTGATCTGGTTCTGAAAAGACTGAAGCCAAGAAAACGCTGTGGGGGCAGTTCTACACAGCCACGTGGGTCGCTGTGAGTCAAAACCAGACTCGATGGCACCTAGCAACAACAACATACTGTTAATACGATGCTGAAGAGGGTTGGGCAGAGCTTCACGACTAAGATAGACCAGGAAGAATGGCCTGGCAATCTACTTCTGAAAATCAACCAATGAAAACCTGATGGATCACAAAGGTCCAGTCTGCAACCATTCATAGGGACAGAGCAGGACCAGGCAGCCTTTTGCTCAGTTGCGGTAGGTGGAGGGTGACTACCTCAGCTGACAACAGAGCCTGCTCAGACCAACTGTGGAGAGCCTACCCATTGTTAGTATTCAGGAATTTTGCAAACCTGTTATTTAACGTTTCATAGCTTGAAATTGGCCACGTGGGAGTATTTAACCCACGATACTGGCAAACGCTATAAATCAGCATGCTTTTTATTATGTTTTTTTTTGTTTTGTTTTGTTTTTTGAGGGCTGTTTTACAGGCCCACATGACTGGCTTTAGAACACCTGCATAATCTCCATCAGCATCGCCCCCAAAATACCCCAGATAAATACCCCTGATTAAAAATGGAGTCCTTGCTGGGAGAGTGCAGCTTCAAAGCAATGCTCATCCCACCTTCTAGCCAGACTTCCGGCCTAAGGCAGGCTGTATCCACGCCTGTGTTCCCAAATGACCCCTGCCCCCCTTGCTGCAAGAGGTGCCCAGCTCCAGACCTCGGGGACATTTGTCTCTTTGAGTCCTGTATCAGGGATTTTGGGTAAGGAGGGTGAGCTCTGGTCACCAGAGGGGTGTGTGTGGGGGGGAGCTCCTGGGCCATGTGCTGCAGCCTGGTTGCTTCAGGCTCCAGGGCCAGGTGGAGAAGCTGGGGGTGGGGTGGGCACGGCAGCAGATTCATTTCCCTGATTCTGTGCACTACAGCAGTGGCTCTCAAATTGTGGTCCCCAGATCAGCAACCTCAGCAGCCCTTGGGCACTTGTTAGAAATGTAGATTTGCCCCCAGCCAAGACCTTCTGACTGACTGAGACACTCAGGGGTGGGGCCTGACCATCTGTGCAGCCCTCTCCCTGACTTCCAGAACCTCTGCCCTGAAGAGTTGTCAGCCAGGCTGGGATTGAGCTGTGACTTTCGACTCTTGCTTTAGAACTCACCTTTGCCTGCTGTTTGGCAAGCCTGTCCACATGGAGCAGCTTGGTTCAGGCCTCTGGCTTGTTCCCTAGACACACGTGAGTGCTTGGAAGAGGCACTGATGGCCAGAAATTAGGGCCAAGGGCTCTATCTCCTACCGAAGAGATCCAGGGTTGAGCCTCAGCTTCTTCAAGCTGTGTCATCTGGGCGAGAGTCTGAACTTCTGTGAGCATGCTGCCTCGTCTTTAAAGTAAGATAATAACTGTGCCTAATTCACAGTTAGCACAGTTAGCGTAGTTAACCTGCTTGGTTGCTAACAGAAAGGTTGGAGGTTCGAGTCTACCCAGAGATGCCTTGGAAAAAAGGCCTGACAGTCTTCTTCTAAAAAATCAGCCATAGAAAACCCTCTGGAGCACAGTTCTAGAGGGATGTGGGCCCAAGATGGCCAGAGAATCTAATTTTTCAGGAGAAATCAAGCACCTGGCATTTTATATGAATTCTCCCGATTTTTAAAATTTTGGCATCCAGTTTAAATTTAAAACTAATACTGTGTGGGCAATTGTTGGTGGACTTAAGTTAATCCTTAGGTGACCAAATTATTACCTCTGTTATGTACAGACAGGTGAGTCCATGGGTGGTGCAAAGGGTTTGTTCTTGACTGGTAATCTAGAAGTTGGTGGTTCAAATGCACTCAAGAGTACTGCAGAAGAAAGGCCTGGTGATCTTCTTCCATAAAGATTACAACCAAGAAAACAAAACCTTATGGAACAGATCTACTCTGTAACATACGGAGTCACCTTGAGTCAGAATCAACTTGATGGCAAGGGGTTTTGTTTCTCATTTATATACAAACAGATGTTCTAAATTCTGAAACACATCTGCTTCTAAACAGTATTCAGATCTAGAACAAAGATAATTTCGTTCATATTACCTACCATGAGAGTTCTGGTGGTATAGTGCCTAAGGCACTTGGTTGCTAACCAGAAGGCTGGCAGTTCAAATCCACCAGCTACTCCTCAGAAGGAAGGTTGGGCAATCTACTTCCATAGTGATATTCCCTCGGAAACCCAAGGAGGGGTCGCTATGAGTCGGGTCTGAATCCATGGCACATAACAACAACAACAACCATGTGAATGGAACCCATAGGAGTTGTCCAGTGCCCAACCTGTTCAACTGTACATGGAAGCCCTTCAACAGAATTGTGAAGTTGTCTCTCCCTCCCCCTAACAGAAATGCCACCTCTACTCCTTCAACTCCATGAAAAAAAGCCTTTCACCTGTCTTGGGCACAAGACTTGAGCCGCAAGGCCATTAAGGGGGAGTTCTCGCCATCCTGACCAGAGTGTCTCTTTCTTCCAGAGTGGTGAAATTCCGTCGCACGGGCGAGAGCGCAAGGTCAGAGGATGACACGGCTTCTGGAGAGCATGAGGTCCAGATTGAAGGAGTCCGCACGGGCCTAGAGGCCGTGGAGCTGGACGATGGGGCGGCTGTGCCCAAGGAGTTTGCCAATCCCACAGATGGTGAGGGCACCCTGCAGTTGGGGCATCAGCCCAGGTGGCAATCAGGGTCTCTGAGGTGCCAGGGTTGCCTCCCAGGTGGCAGTTTCAGGAGGGTCTGGTGAAGGGACAGGAGGAGGGCCCAGAGGGCCCAGGGACAACACTGGACATGTAGACTGGGCCCACATGGCTTACTTCAGCAGACAGTTACATCACAATCCCTACCAGTCAGTATCATTGCATGATACTTGGTTGAGGATGGCAGCAACAATGCTGAAGATGATGACAAAGATGATGATGATGATGATGATGATGATGATGATAGGTATGGTTATCAAGATGATGGCAATAGTGATGATGATATTGATGGTGATGTTGATGGTAATGATGATATGATGATGATAGTGATGGTGATGGTGGTGTTAATGGTGATGGGGAGAATAATGATGATGGTGATGAGAATGATGGAGATGATAGTGATGATGATGGTGATGAGGATGATGGGGATGATGATGATGATAATGAGATGCTGCCAATAGTGGTGGTGGTATTAATGGTGATGGGGAGAATAATGATGATGTGGATGATAGTGATGATGGAGATGATAGTGATGATGATGGTGATGAAGATGATGGGGATGATGATGGTAATAATGAGATGCTGCCGATAGTGGTGGTGGTATTAATGTTGATGGGGAGAATAACGATGATGTGGATGATAGTGATGATGGAGATGATAGTGATGATGATGGTGATGAAGATGATGGTGATAATGGTGATGATGATGATGGTGGTGATGATGGTGATGATGACAATGCTGATGGACAGAGGAGTCCCTGGGTGGCAGAAACAGTTAAGGCTGGCCATTCAAATATACCCAGAGGCACCTCAGAAGAAAGACCTATCAGTCTGCTTCTGAACAGTATCAGCCACGAAATAACCCTGTGGAGTGTGGTTCTACTCTGAGACAAACAGGGTCACCATGGGTCAGAACCATGACTTGATGGCAACTGGTATATATACATTCCCAAAATTTTGTTGTATACTTTATTTTGTTTTAAAAAATCAGTTAACAATATATAGTGTGCATCTTTCCACGTCTGCATGTTCTTTTTAACAGTTGGTCACATTTCATCACATGGATGTATAAGTAACCTATTTGACCAATCCCTATTGATAGATATTTGGAGTTTTCCAGTTTCCCCTATTGTAAACAATATTGCAGTGAACTTCACACTTGCTGTCATATTTTTCTAGGATAAGTTCTAGAAGCAACATTTGCTGTCTTTAATTAGCTTGTTTGGGGACCACTCCAGACACTCCCATACTAGGGCAACTTCAGGGTGCACTGACTCCTTCCCTTTCCCTTTCTCCTTCCCAGATACTTTCATGGTGGAAGATGCGGTGGAAGCCATTGGGTTTGGGAAATTTCAATGGAAGCTGTCTGTCCTCACCGGCTTGGCTTGGGCAAGTATTTCAGGGGTGCAGGGGCAGTGACCTCACATTCAATCTCCAAGGAGCCCTCATGGTGCTTAACTGGGTTTTTGTGGTATATAAGGAAGGACACAGTCCCCTCCAAACTGGGCTTTTGCTTGAATTTCAACTGAGTTTGAGTGACAGTCATGATAATGGATATCTGAGCTTGGGTGGAGTTGGGTGTGGTTGGCCATTGCCTCCAAGGAGGAGTTGAAGCTTCTGTCTAATTAAGTGCTTCCCAACCCTTTGGGGCTCAAGGGTATTACGATGTTCTGATGGCAGCTGTTGAGCCTCCCTGGAAAAATGGTCACAGATAAAAATTTGTCTTCAGCTTCAAGGGACTCATAATCCCTTATTAAAGTCCCCAATCCAGCTATGACAAATAACGTTTAGACCTTTAATGATACAAAGAATATTGATTTTTGTGAATGGATGTTAGATGGTGCTCTAACTATATATTTCTCCTAATGGATTGCCGGTTTTCCCACATCATTTCCTCACTAATTGGAAAAGCTACCTTTACTGTACACTTCATTCCCATAGCTGCTTCTGGATTGGGTCTGCTTCTGGACTCTCAGTTCTGTCCCATTGTCTGCCTGTCTAGGTCTGCATTGGTATCACAGTATAATCACTGGGGCTTTCCAGTATGTTTTAAATGGTTACTCTTGTTAAACATGCTGATAATTCTACATGAACAATGATCTGTAAACCAAACTAGTCTTGGAGGGAGTTAAAGAGAAGAGATCCTTTTATCTCTACCTCTATTACAATGTTTCCCTCAGATTGTAGAAGTCTTCCCACTTCATTTAGGGAGTGCATTTTGGTATACATTTATAAATATTTTTTTAAAAAAATGCATGAAATAAGAATGTTAAAAGTCTATTTGTTGATTCCTACATGGTACCACACTGTTTTAGTTCTTAGAGCTTTTTAGTATGTTTTGATGTGTGGTAGGGCACTCAGCAGATGGCAGAAGAGGGGATTTCCTATATTCTCTGGGGTCACGGACTTGACGAGCGGCCAGCCCACCCCTCAGAGGACTGCATCTTCCTCCCTCAGCCTTCCTGGCCTCACAGTGCTTCCTTCCTCCCTGCAGATGGCCGATGCTATGGAGATGATGATTCTGAGCATCCTTGCTCCACAGCTGCATTGCGAGTGGCAGCTGCCCAGCTGGCAGGTTGCCTTGCTGACCTCGGTAGGAAGCCCAGAGGCTCTTCCCTTTGTGTTCAGTTCTTGGCCCTTGGGGTGTCCTGTG